CCTCCCCTCAGCAGCGCTATCCTTGCCCTTGCGCCCCTCCTCCCCCTTGCCCGACCGCCCCGCCCTGGCGGAGGCAAGCGCGGACAGCTCCAGCCCGCGGAGAAATGGACGCGGGGGTATCGCTGTCCGTTTCGGTCACAGGATCGAGGACTGAGGTTCTTGGACGATGCTGCCACTTTCTGGGGCTTCGCGGGCCGCTTGGGACATCTGGAGCAATTCGTGATGTCCCAGGGACTAGCGCGAGTGGCCACGGCCCCGCGGATACAGGACGGTTTTGCGCGGATGCCCCGCGCGGGATGCGTCCATGGGATCGTGTACCCATCGGGTCGTGCCTTGGTGCCCCGACGGCGGAGGCATGGATATGGATATGGCCGTCGCTCGTGGGAGACCCCCGGGACTTGCGGTCGATTCGCCCCGCCTCGACACGGCGTCGGCGGCGGTGCGGGCGCGGGTGTTCAGTGTTGGGTGCCCCGCGGGGGGTGCCGTTTTTGGCCACGGGGTGAGCAAAACTCAATCCAAAACGCCAGATGGGGTTCAAGGCCCTTGTCGGGCGACGCCAACTGGCCACTTTCCTGTTGCTGTCTGCACCCATCCTGGGCCCAGGATCTGTGTATAGGCAGTCCTGGCCTGGCCTGGGGAGCTCAGACACCGATCCTGACCAGGGATCGGCCCGACCAGGATCGGTGGGCAAGTCAGTTTCTGGGGCTCTGCCAGGAAGGATATCGTGTCAGGATGAACGATTCACTCCATGTCAGAGACCGAAGCCGATGTCCTTATAGCAGGAACCTGCTGCAGTCGCGCACATACATACACCGAGGTCCTCAGAGCCGTTTTGCATGAACCACGACTGCGACCAGCTTGGCGGCGTCGGCGTCGGCAATGGCGACGCTGGTACTTTGATGGGATATTGGATGTAATAGCGGTGTTAGTGTTAGTGGTGGGGGTAGTAACAGCGAGAGTGATTTCGATGGCAGTGGTAGTCGCATCATAAGTAGTACTAGTTGTGGTTGTTCGTAATCGTAATCGTTGAAAAAAGAACAGGTGGTCGTATCATTCACAGTCGCAGTATCAGTAGTAATCGTCCCAGCAGCAGCAGCAGCAGCAGCAGCAGCAGCAGCAGCAGCAGTAGTAGTAGTAGTAGTAGTAGTAGGAGTAGGAGTAGTAGTAGTAGTAGTAGTAGTAGTAGTCGTAGTCGTAGTCGTAGTCGTAGTCGTAGTCGTAGTCGTAGTCGTAGTCGTAGTCGTAGTCGTAGTCGTAGTCGTAGTCGTAGTCGTAGTCGTAGTCGTAGTCGTAGTCGTAGTCGTAGTCGTTGTCGTAGTCGTAGTCGTAGTCGTTGTCGTAGTCGTAGTCGTAGTCGTTGTCGTAGTCGTAGTCGTAGTCGTAGTCGTAGTCGTAGTCGTAGTCGTAGTCGTAGTCGTAGTCGTAGTCGTAGTCGTAGTCGTAGTCGTAGTCGTAGTCGTAGTCGTAGTCGTAGTCGTAGTCGTAGTCGTAGTCGTAGTCGTAGGTCGTAGTCGTAGTCGTAGTCGTAGTCGTAGTCGTAGTCGTAGTCGTAGTAGTAGTAGTAGTAGTAGTAGTAGTAGTAGTAGTAGTCGTAGTCGTAGTCGTAGTAGTAGTAGGTAGTAGTAGTAGTTAGTAGTTAGTAGTTAGTAGCTAGTAGTTAGTAGTTAGTAGCTAGTAGTTAGTAGTTAGTAGTTAGTCGTTAGTAGTTAGTAGTTAGTCGTTAGTAGTTAGTAGTAGTAGTAGTAGTAGTAGTAGTAGTAGTAGTAGTAGTAGTAGTAGTAGTAGTAGTAGTAGTAGTCGAAACCAAGTGCCCTAGCCAGCTCAACCTGCCAACCCGTCCAACCAGCCAGCCAGCGCACCCAGCCACCCCGCCACCTAGCCAACCCGTCAGCCAACCAGCCCAGCCGCCCACCCCGTCATCCCGCCAACCAGCCGATCCCCTCCGCCTGCTCTCCGTGCCCAACCAGCCACCCTGCCAACCCGCTCTCCCCCGCCGCCTGCCCTCCGTCACCGCCGAGAGGGGGGGGAAGTGTTTCTTGCCAGCGAAAACCAGAAAACTAGCCCTCACGGGGACCGGCGGGACAGTGGGAGGGGGCAAATCGCACCGTACTTTGCAGGAGAATGGGGGGGGGGTGCCCGGCACGGTTTTGGGCTTCAAGTGTGTAAGTGTCGTTATTTTTCAGCGTCCACCGCGCTCTCTTTCTCAATGGGAAGGCTCCCGTCCTTGAAACTGTCGCCAATTTTGAGGCCCCGCGCGTGGCTTCTTAGAGAGCCGCCAAGAGGCCCCAGGAGGTCTCAAGAGGCATCAGGAAACTCCAGGAGGCTTCAGGACGTCCCCGGAGGCCGTGGGAATCCTAAGGAGGCTCCAGGACGCTCCAGGAGGTCCCAGGATGCCCCGCGAGGTCCCGCAAGGCCCCAGGAGGTCCCATCACGCTCCGGGCGTATCCTGAACGACCCAAAAATTCCAGAACGTTGCGGACGCCCCTGGTCTAGGCCTCCTGGATGGGGTCGGAGTTGATGGGGTCGGAGGATCGCGCCGCATCGCCGATGCATCGCCGATGTGGCTCGATGTGCAGCCCGATTTGCTTCGCGTCGGCGTCGCCGATGCATCGCCGACGTCGATAATGCATCGCCGGTGCATCGCCGATGCATCGCCGATGCATCGCCGATGTATCGCCGATGTATCGGCGATGCGGCGCGATCCTCCGACCCCATCTACTCAAACCCCATCTATGAGGCCTCTACCTGGAGGGCTGACGATACCCTAGGAGAGCCCAGGAGGTTTCAACAGGCCGCAGGAAGTCCCCAGAGGTTGTTATCCCAGGAGGCCCCCGGGATTACCAGGAGGCTCCATGAGGTCCCATGGTCCATCACGCCCGATGTAAGGAAGGGGAGGCGGAGGAGGAGGAGGACGTGGAGGAGGAGGAGGAGGAGGAGGAGGAGGAGGAAGACAAGGAAAAGGACGAGGAGGAGGAGGACGAGGAGAAGGATGAGGAGGAGGACGAGCATGATGAGGAAAGGATGAGCAGGGTGACAGCGCGACGCCCCAGCAAATACACTTGGTCCAATTGGTTTCTACCCCCGCGAGGGGCGTTACATAGTAGTAGTCGTAGTCGTAGTCGTAGTAGTAGTAGTAGTAGTAGTAGTAGTAGTAGTAGTAGTAGTAGTAGTAGTAGTAGTAGTAGTAGTAGTAGTTGTAGTAGTAGTAGTAGTAGTAGTAGTCGTAGTCGTAGTCGTAGTCGTAGTCGTAGTAGAAGGACAAGGGGTAGTAGTGAGTTAGTAGTAGTAGTATAGTAGAGTAGTAGTAGTAGTATTAGGAGTAGTAGTAGTAGTAAGTATCGTAGTAGTAGTACTAGTAAGTAGTATTCGGTTAAGTAGTCAGTAGTTAGTTAGTTAGTAGTTGTAGTAGTAGTAGTAGTCGTAGTCGTAGTAGTAGTTAGTTAGTAAGTAGTAGTTTGTTAGTAGTTTTGATGAGTACTTGTAGTTTTTTTTAAGTAGTAGTTAGAGTCGTTGTCGTAGTAGTAGTAGTAGTAGTTACGAATAGGTAGTAGCTTTAGTAGTAGTAGTAGTCGCTACTAGTAGTTGTCGTAGCAGTAGTAGTCGTAGTAAGTCGTAGATAGTCGTTTCTAGTAATAGTCGTAGTATAGTTATGTAGTAGTAGTCGTAGTCGTGGAGTGGTAGGAGTAGTAGTAGTCGTAGTAGTAGTAGTCGTAGTCGTAGTAGTAGTAGTCGTAGTCGTAGAGTAGTTGTAGTCGTCCGTCGTATAGTAGTGATCGTAGTAGTAGTAGTAGTCGTCGGTGGTCGTAGTACTTGGAGTTGTCGTAGTAGTATTTAGGGTGTTTTGGTGTAGAAGTAGTAGTAGTAGTCGTAGTCGTAGTAGTAGTAGTAATAGTAGTAGTAGTAGTAGTGAGTAGCAGCAGTATAGTAGTAGTATTAGTAGTAATAGTAGTAGTAGTAGTCGTCGTAGTCGTAGTCGTAGTCGTAGTCGCGGTAGTAGTAGTAGTAGTAGTAGTAGTAGTAGTAGTAGTAGTTGTTAGTCGTAGTAGTCGTAGTAGTCGTAGTGGTAGTAGTCGTAGTGTTAGTAGTGTTAGTAGTGTTAGTCGTGCTAGTAGTAGTAATATTCGTAAAGGTAGTCGTAGTAGTAGTCGTAGTAGTAGTAGTAGTAGTAGTAGTAGTAGTAGTCGTAATCGTAGTAGTAGTAATAATTGTAGTTGTAGTATTATGATTAGTAGTAGTAGTAGTAGTAGTAGTAGTAGTAGTAGTAGTAGTAGTGGTAGTCGTAGTAGCAGTGGTAGTAGTAGTAGTAGTAGTAGTAGTAGTCGTAGTCGTAGTCGTAGTCGTAGTATTTGTCGTAGAAGTAAGAGTGGTAGTAGAAGCAGCCGTAGTAGTAATAGTAGTAGCAGGGTTTGTAGTAGTCGTGGAAATCTCAAGTAGTAGTAGTAGGGGTCGTAGTAGTAGTAGTAGTAGTAGTAGTAGTCGTAGTAGTAGTAGTAGTAGTAGTAGTAGTAGTCGTAGTAGTAAAACGTAGTATTTGTCATAGTAGTAGTAGTAGTAGTAGTAGTAGTAGTAGTAGTAGTGGTAGTAGTAGTAGTAGTAGTAGCAGTAGAAGTAGTAGTCGTAGTAGTAGTCGTAGTAGTAGTAGTAGTAGTAGTAGTAGTAGTAGTAGTAGTAGTAGTAGTAGGCGTCGTTGTAGCCGGAGTAGTCGTCAGCGTAATAGTAGTAGTCATAGGCGGGGTCGTACGTAGTAGTAGCAGTAGTAGTAGTAGTAGTAGTAGTAGTAGTAGTAGGTAGTAGTAGTAGTAGTAGTAGTAGTAGTAGTAGTAGTAGTCGTAGTAGTAGTAGAGGTAGTGGGAGTAGTCGTACTAGCAGTAGTAGTAGTACTAGTAGTAGTAGTAGTAGTAGTAGTAGTAGTAGTAGTAGTAGTGGTCGTAGTAGGTAGTTGTAGTTGTAGCAGTAGTAGTAGTAGTAGTAGTAGTCGTAACAGTAGCAATCGTCGTTGTCGTCGTCATAGTCGTAGTTATAGAAGGGGAAGAAAAGGGGATAGTCTCAGTCGTATGTGTTGAAGAAGCATAAGTAGGAGCGGTAGTAGTAGTAGTAGTAGTAGTAG